GAGGAGGAGGAGGAGGAGGAGGAGGAGGAGGAGGAGGGGGAGGAGGAGGAGGAGAATGACTGTCGGTTCCTTGATGCTCTCTTGGTTGTTTTTTAGCATATGTTTCATTATCCAACTAGGTAATATCATCAGTGCTGGAAGAAAATGAGGTTTGTGGAGAGGAAAGAGGAGAAGGAGGAGGATTGTAGGGTCCTTGGTGCTCTTGTGGTTGTTTTCTTGCAGATGTTTCATTACCCAACTAAGTAACATTGTCAGTGCTAGAAGAGAGTGGGTTTGCTCTCAACAGCCCAATCAGGGAGCAACCAAGAAATAAAAACAATATTCCCACCAACACTGAGAGGGAAAGCCACTTGTATGTAAACACCTCTCCCTTATAATGTTCCCTATGTGGATCATGAAATCTCTGCAGGAAAACAGCCAAGCTCAGAGAGCACCTCAGAGAGGACTCCACAGCTCCATCTTGCAGATATTTTCTTCTACTGGAGCTACTATAAGCATTACTAATGAACCAGGAAGGCCCAAGTCCATCAAAAAAAGCAAATTCAGTCTTTGAAACATGACTTCCATTGTTAAAACTTGTTCAACAAAATGTACATATTTTTAAAAAGACGTGCATTCATTTTATTGACTATATATAGGGCAGTGTAATAAAAAAATCAATGATCTGCAGGAAAAGTTCATCAGCTCAAACTTGTTTGCTTCATGAACGAGATGGCAAAGCTGGGGGGAAATCCCAGCAAAGTTACACACGAAAGAGATGAAGAAACTCAGCCAACTAGTTATTGCTAAGCACCCTAATGGGAGGACCTAGAAAATTGGAGGACAGAAGATGCAGCCCAGACTGAGAAAGACATAAATTGTGTCATCTTTTCTTTTGGCCTCTGGAGGAAAGGTTGCACATTCAGTGCCAGATGACACCAGTGAAAGCTTCAGATATCTTTTTTTTTTTTTAAATCTAAGAAAGACTTCTGCGTTGCAGAATAATTTCTGCTGAATCAAAGAGATAACATGAGTGGACCCATCATCTAATTCTGCAGAAGGCCGGATTCTTCTGTTCCTACTCTTACCTTTTAAAATGTAGTCAGTCAGCAGCGTAGGGACTTTTTCGTTGTCTTCCTTCATGGCAAAGAGAACTGAGGAAACAAGTTGGGACGAAAACCATTAGGGAGTCCTGTTTATGAGTTATTTGTTTCTCTCTTTAACCTGCCTGGGCACTGAGACATCAACTGTTCCCCTGCCACATTTATTCTACCTTCTGTAACCAATCCTTATATGCCAAGTGAGGCAAGGCGCAAGAAAACACTCCATCCAGATATGGAAGCAAACCAGATTTATATTCAGATCTTCTGCAACTTGCCAATGTTCTGGACTATGTCATCTGAGACACAGGAGCTAATTTAGAGAGTCCAAAATTATGGAACCCATAGCTCTGGCTTGTCCCTACAAGTCACTTTGGGGAATAGGCCTATTCCTGCAGCATTTGGCACTTACGATGAGTCCTTCACTTTACTGGTCCTGTTTTAAGAAAATCTGAATTTCGGAATTGCACAGAATCACACAGAAGGCCCTAGATGCCTTCAAGCAAGCAGAAAGATGCTTTATGCATTTTAGATCAAGACAGGGATTCCACAGTTAGAAACGGCTAGCACAGGAAAAAGAGGGGAGAGAGGCCAGGGCAGGCCTTCCTTGTGTCTTGCACAGTTGTAGGTCTGTGTTGAATTGCAGAGCTGCCTGCCGTTAATGGGACAGTTACCAGATGTTGATTAGGGAAAGCTATTAAAGGCCTGTGCTGTAAAGAGATTCTATGATCCCATCAAGGTTCTTAGCACAATGGTTAATTTCAATCACTGGCAAAACTTAACACAGCCTTCTCTGCTTTTTTGCTACAAGGGAGACTGCAAACACACTTTGGGACATGTTGGTTGGGGATTCTGGATGCAGCAGTCCCAGTAGATTACATTTGGCTTTTAGAATAAGACATGGGCAATGAACTCAGTCCAAAATAGGAAAGGCTACCATTTTCTAATGTGGACTGCTGAGCGAAATTCTTCTTCATATACACCAAAGTGCCAATCCAGACTCTTAAACAAATTCCACCTTGCTAGACAGGATTGTAGTGGATTGTGTATCTGAAAATGTGTATTCAAGTAGGGAGGGAAATAACATTGGAGGATAAACATTAAAAAGGAATCTCTTGTTGGGGAATTGTACGCAAAAGAACTATGAAACGTGAAATGAATTTAACCCATTTTTATCCAGAATGTGGAAAAAGCCCTTCATGGTATTGGACCTGGGTACTTGAGAGACCGCCTGCTGCCAATCACCTCCAATAGACCGATCAGATCCCACAGATTAGGCCTCCTCCGAATTCCATCCGCCGGCCAATGTCGACTGGCGACTACCCGGAGGAGAGCCTTCTCTGTGGCTGCTCCGACCCTCTGGAACGAACTCCCCGTGGGGATTCGAACCCTCACCACCCTCCAGGCCTTCCGCAAAGCCTTTAAAACCTGGCTATTCCGACAGGCCTGGGGCTAAAGAGCTTCTGCCCCCCTCCTCGAATGGTATGGTTGTTGTGTGTTTTTAAGTTGTGTACTGTTATGTTTGTCTTTTTATCCCCTGTCTGTACCCCTCTCCCTGATTGAATTGTGAGCCGCCCTGAGTCCCCTTCGGGGAAAAGGGCGGCATATAAATGAAATAAATCCAATCCAATCCAATCCAAAAAACCATACATTCAAATTGGATACTAGGCACATTATTCATTAACTGTTGGTGGTAGCTTGGATACAAGGTCCAATATTTTGAGGACCTGTTTGATCCGTGCATCTTATTTGGGAAGTTTTCTTCCAGCCCAGTAATCTGATCTCATCTCAGTATGTTTGCACCATGATTTGAAGCAGTGTTGCATAGTTAGTTAGACAAGGGAAAAAGAAGAGGGGTGGAGGGGAGGAGACAAATTTATCCCGGGTAACCTCTTTGCTTCTAGAAGCTTTGCTTCTAAACACAAATTGTCGTTTGTACAAAACTCACAGGGTGCACAAAATAGCCATTCATAGCTCTCTGCTCTTTTCAAAAGAAGGCAGGGTTTGTTCCAGTGAGTGCAAAACACAGTTGCCATAGAAACACAAAGGGAGACAGATGATTCTCCCAGAATGCACAAAGGACCATCACAACATCTCAACCTTTTCATTTTTGTTCCACAAATAATTTAGTCAGAATTAGGGAGGCTAAATCCCGTCGCTGGCCAATTCAGATGTTTATAAAATAGTTGTTGAAGTTATCTATTATTTCTGGGACATACTGGGCTGGTGTTTTTGTAATGATTTCTTAGCAAAATATTTGAGGAACGGCAATACGGTCTAAAGCCACAACTTGCAAGCTCTAAAACAACCATTTATCTCAACCCAGACAATCTGTATGTCACTCTATTAGCTCATGCTTATGTTTTTGCACACATTCCAATGCATACACATAGAGTTGGAAAGGGAATTACATTCACTCCAACTGGCAACACTTAGATACCACTCAGAACGGTTCAGAATTTGGGACAGACTGAATGAACAGCAATGCTGGTACATCATTCCTTAATTAGTCACACTTGGTTTCTCCTGTCATTAGAAAGAACTAAATAACAAATAGAAATTCTTTCCCTGGTTTGGAACAGCCAAAAATTACAGCAGTAATGATTCCTCTAAGGACCAAATATAGCCTTAAGCCCGCAAAAGGATAACTACCCATTAAAAAGATGATCAGGTTTTCTTCCCAGTTAGAGTTCTCCAAAACAATAATGATACAGGCATATAACCTTTACTTTTCTCCTTTGTGATTAAGGAAATATTTAAAATTGAAGATGTTTTCAATTCTCTCTCGCTCTTTCTCTTTCTCCCTCTCCCTCTTTCTCTCCCTCTACACACACACACACACACACACACACAAACACACACACACACACACACACACACAAACAGCAGATCAGGAACTTACATTCTAACACACGCAACCTAACAATATAAACTTACTGTTTGTAAGCATTTGCAAGTCCTCAACTGACGGAGGTGCCCCTTTCTTCTCATACGGGATGACAGTGTTCAAATACTGGAAATAAGAAATACTGGAATATTGGTATATATATATATATATATGTGTATGTATGTATGTATGTATGTGTGTGTGTGTGTGTGTATGTATGTATGTATGTATGTGTGTGTGTGTGTG